CATTCCTACCACAGACCTACGAATTCCAGAGAGAGTTGGGACAATTCCATATTGAGTGTTTATTGTAAACAGTTATTTAAAATTATGACACCATACATGTTAAGGTCTTTAGTCAGCTTTGTAATGGTTCCTCTCCAATCGTGGGATAAAAACAAGAACGCGTTATCATAGCGTAAAAGGTACGCATAATGATCATAAATTAAGCGTTGAAGTTCATAATCATCATTATCATCACAGCCCTTCACAAGTCCACTGCTGAACATAGGCCTCCCCCTAGGAATGCCAGAAAGCACAATCTTGAGACATTTGCATCCATCGATTTCCTGCATGTCTTACCAGGTCGTCACTCCATCTAGTAGACGCCCTACGATTCGTCCGCCGGTACAAGGCTGCCACTCGAGAAACTTTTTTCCCCGTCGGTTGTCGAGTTCTTCGAGCTATATGGCCGCCCCATTGCCACTTCAGCTTACTAATCCGTTGGGTTATTTCGGTCACTCTAGTTCTACTGCGGATATCCTCATTTCTAAGTTTATCACGCAGAAAAACCAATATAGTGACAAATAGAAGTCCATAGTCTCTGATTACCCCTTAAGGTGACAGGTGTGAGAGCTTAAAATATAGTATAGTATAGTATAGTAATACAATATATGTATATATATATATAAATGAATATTTATTAGTTCTTATGTTATGCGCTGCCATACCTTTTATCATCAAACTTTGTCGACTTATTGCTTGCACTTGCGCGAAGGATATGGGCATAGTACAATTAACTTACAGGAAGTAGCGCAATCATTCAATTTCAGTGAATGTATGGTAATTCCCAATTAAACATAATAACTCTTCCAAATTTAAAACAATATTTCCACAATTATTTCTTTTGCGGCTGCATCGCTCCGGGTAACAGCTAGTATAAAATAATAGATTACTTCAAACAGATTCTTTGTTTTTAATCATAATTTTCTGCTTGTATTATGAAAGTATTTCATTGCACTGACTGAGTGTTTTGTAAAATTGAACAATATCAAATGCACATTCTAAATAAACATTAAGTTAATTTAAAATTAAGTTTGTAATTTCACACGGCATGAGTATTAGGGACTTAATTAAGGCTCTATATACATTCTCTAAGTACCTAGTGTGAGAGTTTAAATGCGCTGCGAAATTTTGAAAAGCAATTTCGCAAATAATCCTTAAAAGTTGCTTTCTACTGGAAAATGCATTAAAGTTAATCTAGATAGAATTAAAAGTGACTCGACTAAAAATGATTCAAGTAGAAATGTTGTAACATTTCCTATATCTGCTATAAAAAGAGCGTCCCACGGCTATGTCACAACGAGGCAAAGTACTTTAAATATTACAGATATCAAATTTTTGTACATGGTACTTTATTTTATTTTTAAAAGTGAGTGATATTGCATTCAAAACCATTGTATAAGTTGGAGAGTCGCTTGCCTCATCGGGGAATCCAAATGAAAAACGTAGAAATAATTATAATGTATTTTTGTCATAACGATCAAAACGGTAAAGGTATTAATTATTTTATAAGTACATAATTAATTTTTTAAATAATATAAATTTACTATTACAAAATAAAATATTCTGAGAAAAAATGCCAACTAGAATATTTCAGTTTACTTTCCGTCCGTTTGGTATTGCCATGGGACAACCTTCCTTTTTCAGCAATACAAATCCAATCATGGGATTTATATTGTTGAAAAACAACCGGGCTCTGATGGTCGATTGATGACGGAATATAAATACAATAATTTTGGTTGTTTTATTTAGATGTGAAGCCTTAAATAAAATTATGATTAACTAGAAGCATTAGCTGAGTTAGAAATAATTGTATTTTAAGAGGAAATATTCTCACTTCATAGTGCTTGATTAATCTTAAATCTTCACGCACAATCCCTGACGGGGTAGCCAGAGAGAACAGATCGCCAAGTGTCACGATCCTTACAAACCTCTTTCGCTTCTTTCAAATTCATTATCTTCTTCATGCATGCACGTCTAGGTATCCGAGTACTTTTGACCCTACCCTCTTCGAGCAATTTGCTCACATGGTCTTCGAAAGTTAGTCTCGGTCTACCTCGACACCTTTTAATATTAACTTTCGCGCTATATATTTTCTTCACCATTCGGTCTTCACTCATTCGCTCAATGTGCCCAAACCACCGAAGCACGCCCTTATCAATTTTTGTGATAAGGTCATCTTTCAAACCTGCCATATTGCGAATCTCTTCGTTTCGCTTTCGGTCGGCCATGGTAACGCCGCACATTTTACGAAGAGATCGCATCTCCACTGCATTCAACTTACTTTTATGCTTCTTCTGGCATACCCAGGTTTCGCTGCCATATAACAAAGTCGGTACCAACACTGCGTTATGTATTGCAAGGCGTGCACTCTTCGCTACGCCTTGCCTTTTGACTAACGCAGTCAGGGTACCATTGACTTTGTACCCGGCAGCGACACGCCTGTCCACATCTAAATCACATCTTCCATCCCGGCTAAAAGCACTCCCCAAGTATACAATTTCATTTACCTGTCCTAGACATTCCTGATTTACCCATATTTCACACTTCGTTCTCTCTTCGTCCCTTTCAAATACCAGAACCTTAGTTTTATTAGCATTCAAACGGAGACCTTTAATTTCACATTCCTCTTTCATACACGTGACTGATGCCTGCAGTTCTGCCTCTGATGGTGCAATAAGCACTGCATCATCAGCATACAGCAGACAATTTACTTTAATGTCACCCAATTTCACACCCAAACAACTATCTTTCAGCTTCTGTAAACAGCTGTCGAGATACAGTATGAACAATTTATAATTACGTTATATCTTAAGTCTTGTTAGAGTAAAGTAAATAAGTTAAGGTGTAGCCTTTACGTCCTTGTTTGCGCTAAATGTTAATTTTTAAAACGGCATTACGAGCGCTCGCGTCCATGGTAACAGGGGTCGCTGCCGGGCCTCTCTTCCCCGCGCGCGTCCCCCAGCTCACGTCCGGTCACCTGATGTGGCGATTAACGGGACTGGTTTTGCCGAGGCGTCGACCGCCACCAGTAGCTCGACGTGTGGGCCATCGTATCTTGTTTGCGACCGTTAGTAGGTTGCGAGCGGCCGGTGCTTTGATTTGAAAATTTGGGTTAATTATTGGCATTAATTACTGTCGTTTTGCTCTATTAGAACCGCGAGGTCGCGTGCAAAAGGAAGCCTCTAATTCGTGTCGTTTTTTGTTAGTACGTTTACGTAACGACGAGGCGTTTGTTCTTAAATTTGAGTGATCAAATGTAACTTCATTTGCAAGTAATTTACGTCAATTTGTATAGTGATTGCATGTTGAAGTGCATTTTGCAATATTTAATTTGCTTGTGTGACGTGAAACCGTGTGCGCACGCCGAGTGGACAGACGGCCTGGAATTTGATGCTCGCATTACATTTCGAGGGCTTGGCCCGGTTAATTGTTTTTGGAAGTTAATGTTGAATTGTAACGTCGCGTTAAGTGCCTTTTTTGTGTGTTGACTATTTTCGATCGTTTTACGTGTCAACGAGGCTGACTTTGAGTTCCGATTGCGGGCGTGGTATTTCAATATCGTACGAAGGAATTTTAGCTTGTCGTGTGGAACGCTGAACGTTGAAACTCGAGAAGAGGCCGCGTTCGTTCCTGTGTTTGTAAATTTGTGCTACGTGAACCCGGAACATTTAATATTGAACTTTGAACGGCGGTTGGTTACTTGTGTCCTGTGTCACTTGTGTTAATTTCGATGAACGTTGAGTTGGTTGACTTTGAAGTTAATTAAATGTACAATAAAGTTGATAAACTGAAATAGTGAAAAGAAGGCAGTAGTTTTCAATTGGTGAACTACAACTGGAGGGAGCGCACATTTGGAGAGCAGGGGCGCCTGTGGATCTTCTCTCCGATTACATCGGACCGTCAGGTTACATGTATATACACTTTCGCACACCACTTTACATACACCTCACTTATTACCTGACTGGTGCCCTGTGGTCAACCCTACCTCCGGAGATTGGTAAGTGCTTGCTTATTTGTCAGCCGTTTTTGAACATTTATCCATAGGCCATTGGACCCCGTCCTCTTTTGCTCGTCGAGGAGGCTACTATGGGCACTAGCCCATTCGACCTTTGTAGGGGCACCTAGTGAACAGTCCTACTGCTGGGATGTACCCAATCAGTTTTTAGCAGGTCATGGAGTAATTGATCCGTTGCGTTGCTCTAGTGCGTGTTGTGGTGCCGACAGGGATTGAACTTGCGTTGCGTGCGTGTAATGAAATTTCCTTGATTGCTTAACCCCTAAGCTACCACGGCCCTTTTTCATGTATATTTAATACATATTATGCTTCTGTTTAGTATTATCATTATTTACAATTGGAATGAATCCATAAAAGCTAATTGATAAAAAAGTGATAGTCTTAGCATCGATGCCATTTTTACAAGCTCTTTTTTATCATTACTTTGCTTCCTTCGTATATCTTTCCAGTTAAAATTTGTAATCAATGTACTTCAACACTTGCTGATATTATATTGTTACTTCGATAACAATGTAATAACATTGTATCACGAAGCGACCTATTGATGGACCCGAATGTTGGCCCTAGCAAACCCTATAAAAAGCTATAAATGGAATTTATCTTTATTTAAGTTTTTTTAATTGAAGGCGATACAAAAATTAGTTTAGATATTAAGTTTTTATTTAACATTAATAGTTGTCTCTTTCTAACAAGTAGAAGAACAAGAGTAACTGACATAGCCAAGCAGATATGAGAGCTGAAGTGGCAGTGAGCCGGCCATATAGCTCGAAGAATTGACATCCGTTGGCGGTACTCGAGCGGCAGTCCCGTACTGGCAAGCGCAGTGTTGGTCAACCTCCCACTAGATGGAGTGACGACCTGTTGAAACACACCTAAGCTATAACTTTTTTGTCAGGCTTGACAAAAACGCGGAAAGAAAAATAATTTTATTATTTTATAAGTAAAGAATACAATTCGTCGTTGACGCCGCAAAGGGGCGTACCTCAATTTTTCAAGACTTAATTGTAAATACAAATAAGATTAATTTTATGATGAAAAAAAGCTAGTTATCGGGGAATAATAAATGTTTTCTTGCTCTCCTGTAATTTTTCGAAAAATTTAGGTTCACCCATTTGCGGCGTCAACGACGAATAACTATTAGTCGCGTAGCGTGCGTTGCTGCCATCCGAGGCACGAAGCTACTAGAGTCAGAAATGCTATTCCTTACCCCAACCATATTATCAGATTCTTAAAAAATATAAAGTCAGTAAATGTTTTATAGTCCATGTATGTAGAAAATTACTAAAATAATTATAATGTATTTGTATTCTTATCCTGTATTATATATTTTTAGATTAAAAAAAAATACTGACTGTTATCTCAAAATAAACCAGGGCCTAAAATTCTGGATTGCGTTTCTCTGTTCGATCTTTAATTTAAAACCACTAAACACTGTTGTATAACACTTGTAGATTTTTAATCAAGAAACTATTAGTTTTAGTCGACGCTTTGAAAAGTAGGTGTCCAGGCTGCGCCGCGGGCTACTTCTTTTAATGTTCAAGCGAATCAAATAAGACGATTGTGAAGTATTACTATTTACTCCCCACAACATTTCCACATAATGTACATCTACAACGCCAGAAATTTTTAGGAAATTTGAGATAATGATCCGTATGAACGCGGTCACTGTAATTAATAATTATGTTGATGAATATTTGATTTCGATTAGAAGGAAGAAATATACTTAAGTATCTGAACACACATGTTGCATCTTTCTAATTATAATTGTCTAGAGAAAATGCCATGGAAATCCCACAGTTTTCAACACATAGTGCAACCATTTATATTATATCTACACATATAAATGAAACTGAATTGTCTGTTTATAATGTCGGAATAGTTATAAGAACTGAGCTTTATTGAGGTTGAGCTTTACAGATAGTAGCGCCGATGCCCTAAATCCAAAACTGCCTGCCGAGCTAGCATGGTCACATTGATATTAAATTTTATGCAAATTATCTGTTTTCAATTCTGTCATTTTATAAAATCAGGTTTTCCAAAGCAATATAAAATGGAATTCTTTCTTTATAAAGCTCCTCTGATCACAAAGCACTTATTGTGGTAAAATTGGACTAGAAAGAACTGCTCATAAAAATTACGCCTCTCAGTAATATAAGGTTGATTAATAATTAATTAATTTAACCAGTCATGTACGTTAAATCCAATTTTTCCAAATTAATTTTAATATTGCTACATACAGCGAACTATATAATAAAATGTATTTCTTGATAACTATGTGTATTAAAGAAATTGTCACGGATCGCCGTAACGCCGTTCGAAAAATGAGTGAAACACGTTGGTCTTGCTTAAACTGGAGGCAAGCGGCGGTGAGGAGGAACTTTTTCTTTTCTTGCTGCTGTTTTCTTTTCTGTAGCTGGAGAGCGACTGCCGACCGTTCCGGCCGGCCCGTCTTATATACGATCTGGCCGTTGCTGGCCAGCGGACCCTTGCCTCACCCCCGCGCCTTTCTTTATTAGGTAGATTTCTTACAAACTAATGTACAGACTTAAATATATTACATTCTTACAATTACTTATTAAACTAATACTTATATAACAATTTTTCTATATAGTAAAGGTTAAAACGTTGTTATTCCAGCAATTATGAGCTGAGGACCCTGCCCCCCGCCTCAGTACTATAAATATAAAACGTCGTGGCGCGGCGCGCGTAGCTTCATTCGCCCCGCGGCCGCGTCACGATAACATGCCCTGTTTATTATTTATCGTGCCTAAGGGATTAATATATATGAAATTAAATTGCACTATACAAGGGAATATACTTTACATACAATACTTATTCTACAATTTGGCATTAATTAATTTCTATATTCTAAATCTATGTTAATCCTCGCCATTTGTTCGATGCCTTTATTGCGAGAGTTATTACATAGTTACAATACTATTTATTTAACAATAAAAGCTATATTTCTCAATATTATTGCTACGGCTTTTCCCGCGTTGCTGTGGGCAACCACCGCTAGTTGTGGAACCGTGAGCGCGCCCTGACGATCATAACATTCTCATGGCTCCGCCCACCGCCCCTAGGTTGTTCAACTAGCGATGGTTACGACAAGCAATCGTAAGTCATTTCGTTCGACGTATTACTATGTTTACGTCGTGCACATTCTCCCGCAGTCGCCACGCTGCGATCCCTCTGGTAGCACGACGATCTTCTTTGTCGGTCTTCGTAGTACATGCCCCGTGCTTGTGGCTACGTCGTACGTACTACGTACCTCTCCGTCGACGCCAGGATATACGTTGCTGATTTTCCCCCTGGGCCAGATGTTGCGTGGTAGATTGGAGTCACAAATGATGACTAGGTCTCCAATCTTCGGTGATACGCCTATGCTGCTGGGCTCCCGCCGGTGTTGGAGTAGGGGCAGGTATTCCTTTACCCACCTTCTCCAAAACACGTCGGCCAGGGCTTGAGCTCGTTTCCACTGCTGGCGGGCCGTCACGTCACTCTCGCTGAAGTGTCCCGGCGCAGGTACGTGCGAGTTGGGACCGATGATGATGTGATTCGGCGTGATGGCTTCTGGATCTCCTGGGTCGACTGAGACGTGTGTGAGAGGTCTTGAGTTGACCGTGTTTTCGACCTCGGCGAGCAGGGTCACCAAGGTCTCGTCACTGGGATAGCGCTCGTTGAGGGTGACGCGTAGAGCTTCTTTCACGGAGCGAACCATTCTCTCCCAGGCGCCGCCCATGAACGGTGCTGATGGCGGTATGTACTTCCACACAATTTGTCGACATGTGGTTTCGTGCTCGAGGGCTGCGAGTGCTGCTTCGGCCAGCTCCTTGTCGGCTGCCTTGAAGCACGTAGCGTTGTCACTCCATATTTCTTTTGTGCATCCTCTTCTGCTCATAACACGCCTGAGCGCCGACACGGCTGAGTCGGCGCTTAAAGAGTGGGCTACCTCTATGTGTATTGCTCGTGATGTCATGCAGGTGAATAACGCGCCATAGCTCTTTTCACGATGTCGTCCCACTGTGACCTCTATTGGCCCGAAGTAGTCCAGTCCGGTGTATGTGAACGGACGTGCGTGATGAGCGAGACGTGCGGACGGCAGGTTTCCTGTAGATGGTGATGCAGGCTTGGCTTTTCTTATACGGCACGGTAGGCAGCTTTTGACGACATTTTTCACCACTGGACGTATTTTTCTTATGTACAATCTCTGTCTTAATTCGTTCACGACTGTTTCCACGCTTCCGTGATGCAACCTCTCGTGTACGTGTGTTATGTACAGACGAGTGTATGCGTGCTTCCCGTCTAGTATGGGAGGGTCGTACGTGTCCTCTTCCACTTCTGATGCTGCTTTTATTCGACCTCTGAGGCGTAGAGTCCCCTCTTTATCGACGTATGTGCTCAGGTGGCCTAATTTGTCGTCACCTACCGGAACACTTCCGTTGGCGATCCTCTTGAGCTCCTTCGTGAAGCTTTCCCGCTGACTGGCTTGCACCCACAGTTGTTCGGCTCTTACGTGATAAGCGGCTAGTATTCCTACAAGCGATGAGACAGTAGGAGTTCTCTTTTCCTCCTTGGCTGGGGTGTTGCGTTTGTTTGTTCTTCGCCAGCCAGGGTCGCTATCTTGTCTTGCTCGGTTGCATTGACGCCCAGCCTTCACCACGTACTTGTTTGGTCTGCACATGTCGATGAATAGGAGGACTCTCGCTGTCGCCCTTATGAGGTGAATCCATTTCGAAAATCTTTCTATTTGTGGCAGATGTGTTGTTGGCGAGTCTACCCTTTTAATTGCGATGTTACACACTTCTCGTTCTTCCCCGGTGTCGTATTGTGTCGTTTTCTCTTTCTGCGGCCATTCTGCTGGTGGACGTTGCAGAAACGGGGGCCCTCGGAACCACCGGTGCGACTCGTCGAATCTTTCTGGCGAGGATCGGGTCGCGTCGTCTGCCACGTTTTCTTTAGACGGTAGCCAACGCCATTCGTTTTTCTTGGTCGTATCTTCTATCTCCGCCAGGCGATGAGCGACGAAAGCTCTGTACGCGCGAGGCTCCGACCTTATCCACACCAGTGCAGTACGAGAGTCGCACCAGTATGTCTTGCCCGCTATATCACCATCGTACTCATCGACCACGGTCTGCGCTAGACGAGCTCCCAGCAGTGCCGCTTGTAACTCGAGCCGTGGTATGGAGACTGGTTTCAGTGGTGTTACGCGGCTCTTGGCGGCAGCCAATGATACGTTAACGCTGCCGTCTGCTCGCTCCGTTCTCCAATACACGGCTGCTGCGTAGGCCTCCTCGCTTGCGTCGACGAATGTGTGTAGTTGGCGCGTCGACACCGGGTTGTAATCGTAGCATCGCGGTATTCTCAGTTGTTCTATGGCGTTAAGTGAAGTAATCCAGTCTTCCCATTTTTCTTTTAATTCTGTGGGCAGAGGGTCGTCCCAGTCCGCCTTGTAACGCCATGTGTCTTGGAATATTCTCTTCGCTGGGGTGGTCACTGGTGATATTAATCCCAGCGGATCAAATAAAGCCATTATGACGCTCAACGCTTCACGTTTAGTTGGCAAGCGTTGTTTTTCTTTTACGTCGGCAGGCATCTTCATATTGTGAGTATTAAATCCAATAAGATCACTTTGTACATGCCTGAGCAGGCCGAGCGTCTTCTCAGTTTCTTTTCCACCCAGGCTCACGGTCGCGTCGTGTTGTTTATGTTCTGTCGTTATTTCTTCTATTGTTTTCTCTTCGTTCGATGTCCACCCGCTGAGTATGAATCCCGCTTGTTTGTGGACGTGATCGACTGTTTTTACCGTTTGCTGAGCTTCCGTGATAGAGTGGAAGCTCTGCAAGTAGTCGTCCATATAGTGATTTCTTTTTATGGCGACCGCAGCTTCTGGGTATGCCTCTGCATGTTCTTCAGCATTTTAATTTTTGATGTATAATGCTGTGCACGGTGATAATGTCGCTCCAAAGATGATTGATGTCATCCTATATTCTTCCGGTTGGTCCTCCCGCCGCTTGCCTCTCCATAAGAAACGTAAAACGTCTAA